TTGCCCTTCACTACGAATTTCTTCAAGGTATACCGACTTCTTTGGCGGTCGCAGAAAATCTGCCATCAGCTTGTTGTTCGATTTGTTATTGAACTGCAGAAACTCTTTCTTCAGTTTCTCCAACTCAGTTTTCAACCGTGTCAGTTCTATCTTCCATAGTTTCAAATTTGTTTTCTATTATGCAGGTGATTTCTCTTTTCATTTCCTCTTGGCCCACTTTCATTCCTACTTTAACAGCTTTCGCCTCTTCAACGGAATCTTTGCCAGCTTCCATATCTTTTTTAACCGCTTTCATCTATCCTTTAACTGATTCTTTACAAGCTTCTATCTTTTCTTTAACGGAATTCTTGGCCCGCTTTCATCTCCTCTTTAAATGCAGCAAAGGCTGCCATCAATTGCCTTAACTGTTCCTCCATCGCTCTTGTCACAGACCTTCAACCCCACTCCTGACACCAAAAAGTATCGCGTACGTACGGGTTCGTAATAGATTAAACGCTCAAGTCCGATAAAAGTTTAATAAAATTTATTCTTATCAAAAGAAATATAACAGAATGCTGGAATTTTCCTCGTGTTTAAAATATCATGCACTATAATCATTAATTACCCTTTAAACTACTGAAAACGTTAGAATACAACGCAATGCAAAGAGAAAACTAATCCGATCTGAACTCGCAAAAATAACAACAGCAGCTAACAAAACAATTGAGCTGAGATGTTCTCTTTATGACATTTTGTAGCTTTAAATCGGTCGCGAGAGAGTTCCAGTAATTTCTTTGCTTCTCGAGATTTCTGGCTACGCTAACCACTATACCTGTTGCGTGGCATAGCGTAACGTAATTTAGTAATGAAGAAAATTAACAAAAATTATATTTACTTTTAACTCGCAGTGTAATCATCTGTATGAATCCCGAATAAATACTAGAATTCTGGCATAACAATTAGAAAGGCGCCAGAACTAATCCCCAAGCAGCATTGGGAAGAAAAAAAAACTTCCCCTCTCTTTCTACGTAATGATAGATATTTATTCTTGCCTATGAATGATACATAAACCAAATAAAAATTGTGAACATTCTTGAATCTGTAAAATTGAGATACATAAAAGTAATTATTGAAGTAATTCGCTTTTTTTAAAAAACAAAAATAAAGATTGATTTCTATAGCTATCTAATGAGACCATATCCTAACCGTTTAAATAATGTTTATGAAGAAAAGAAACATATAGATGATTGCAATCTACATACAGTTAAAACGTTTAACGTTGTCATTAGTTTTTATTTTGTTCCTGACGATGATACAGGTAGCAGAATTAGTGGGAAATTTTATAGCTGAATTATATATATAACGTTAAAATGTTTATATTAAGAAAACTAATTTTATAAATGTTAGGAAGCTTAGTTATATCGAACAAAATATGTAAGAGAAAAAAATGCATGAAACTCCTCACTTTCTTACCCTGATAAACAATGTACCGTTGCAAGGTATAGAGTAAATGAAAAATTTTACCCAGGATATACTAAAAAATCTTACCATAAATTTGCTGCAGCAATTCTTTTTTTTTTTTTTTTTTCCCTCTGTGCCCAAAAGGATCTGAACGCAATAAAAACGGTAAAGTCAGGCGTTTAATAATTAAATAAATAAATAAGCTCGTCTTGGGCTCAGTTTTCGGTAACCGGACTAGTTAATGAATTTGGAAGTTCAAAAGAATCATGAAAGTGTGTAGTAAATGATAGTCAAACAATTTCAAGTTTTTTTGCGTTAATATAAGGTGCAGGTAATAACAACAGATATTGGTTACGGATTGTTGTTAAATTACCTGCACCTCTAACTACATATCCAAGTTTCATATGATCAATGCACCTTGAAGTATGGTGGAAATCAGTTATTATGAGAATCAAAATTGATTTTATTTTTTGTTGAAATTATTGTTGCAAAAAAGTGGTCTGTTCGCCTTAATTCTAACCCATTTTAATTGGGGATACCAAGATTCGTGGGTTGATTAAACTACCGCATAGCTCTTGACGACTATCTGCTTACGGATCAAGGCCCTTTGTGGAAAACTTTCTAAGTGGCTCATATTCTCAGTACATTTGGAGAAAATCAGCTAAGCATTCAATCGCCGGAGAGTGAAAAGCAGGGTGAAATACGCGACACTGATGGGCCCCATCAGAAATCGAACTTTAGGATGCAACTAGTACTGTAGCTTGATATTGCTTTATCAGGGTGATTGTAATGCAATGTAATATACGATACCGATACGTGAAAGTTTTACATTTTAGACTATTTTGTACTAACTTCGTGGGGAAGTACTGTAACTTCGAAGGGAAGTATTGTAATCGCGAAAAATTCTGATTATCATATTTCAGTGGAAATATCCATTTTGATTTTTCCCGAATCTATTTTGACCTCCCCCTGACATCTATACGTAAGGAAAGAATAAAGGACTACTTTGTCCAAAAATGGATCTTTTTGGCGTACGGCTGTACGAACGTACGTACATATTTCGCATAACTTAAAATCGATTAGCCGTAGAATGTTGAAATTTTGTACACGCAACTGCTATAACATTTAGTTGCTCACCTTCCTTATTACATTTGGCCTTACCAAAAGTATATATACATATAAACACAACCCCCTTACTCGACTCAAAAGTTCCTTATCCGGCTTTTATTTTTGCAAATGTTCGTTGCAGACATATATTTCCAATTGCAGAAGTATTTGGTATTCAAATAACGAAAATATTCGTGTTTTGGCAATTTCATGTTTAAAAAAATATTTCCTGTGGTCTACGTATGGCTCGTTAGCCACGAGTACAACAAAAGCAGCAAAGTATTTTGTCACACCCATTATTCACTATATTCGCGTAAGTTAAAGCCTTGTAAAAGAAAACAGATGCAAATTAGAATCATTATAACTATCTGCCCATTATAGATGTGATTTCGTTATAGACGAGTTTGAATCTGAATAAATTTTAAAATCCCTGCCCACAGCTATTTTGTCTAATAATTGATAACTTATGTGTTTGCCTTAAAAAATCTGTTTGCCTATTTGCCTTTATTAAATCTGTGTCGAATCTGTTTGCCTTTGTTAAAAAAGCAGAAATATATCATTTTCCAGAAAGGGAAGAGCGCGTAAGAATGAACTTTTGGCTTAAACAAATAAAATGCCTGCAAGCTGTCATTAAATGTACTTTTTTAAGCACTTCACGTGCTACCTATAATTAAAGAAACAGAAGATTTTGAAATTTCGGAAAGTTTAAATAGTAGGTTTTATTTTTTATTTATTTTTTATTGTACAGATATGTATACTTTTCTTCATTGTGTATATATTAATGAGAGCGAATGTCTCTATTTTCAGGTATAGTAAGAGCACTTAGTCAGAAAATAGACGTGGCTCATAAAGGAAACTACTTTGTTGATTCAGAAAAGTTATTACAACATACCAAGAGTCTAGAGAAAATCAATGCCGCTGATTTTTCCCATTCAAGTTGGAAATCAACAGGAATATATCCCAGTGTTTGATACTATTATTCCAAGCCCTGTATATAAGAATGTACAGATCATGTAGCCACATGATGAACTTTGTGAAAACTTCATCTTCATTCGCAGAAAAACTGATGAGCTCAAATATTCTTGTGATTTTACTTGAGTGAGCTCGAGTAAAGTGAATGGTCATTTTTTTCCCTTATTAGCTGAAAAGCACATTACTCATTATGTACATAATTAACTTATTTTTGTACATTGGAAAAATATATATATATGTATACGATATAATAAATGAAAATATTTGAACTAATTTTCGTTTTATTTTTTAAAAAAATGAAAAGTATTACTCAAAAAATAATTTTGAACGCCAGCTGAAATATTGATATATTCAATATATTATTTAAATACAGATATAATACATTTGAGTATAACATTTATAGCAGAACAAGCTTTATTTCAAATGTATTAGTGAACGAAATGCGAACTCCTTTGGACTTTAAAAATTTTCTGAGTTTAAAACTCACAGTAAAACATATTTTATATCATGTATGTAATGCGTTAATTGATGTACAGTATTTGTCGAATTACCGTTATCAGCTTTTTCTTAAGTGAGCCGCTCACCTCTCTTTTCTAGGCACTGAACTTCTCTTTCAGAAGTACCGAAAAAGCCAACAGGGAAAATTTCTTTTTCCTTTTCTTTCTTTTCTGTTGCAAAATATTGCTCTTCCTGCTTTTATCGCCTCAACTAGTCAAACTATGCTACCAATGAAGTTTCATTTCTAATTTTGTAATAAGTCTATTTTCGGAAAGACTGAAATGTGAAGAAAGAAAAGCAATACGATGGTTTGTTGATTTAAGATTATATATACACTATATAAAATTCAAACATCGAAATTAGTTAGGCCAAGGGTGGAAAACTGCTCAGTGGTGTGAATAAAATTAGAGGTCATATTCGCGAAATTTAACATCCTGTGCTAACGGACGAGGCGAAGTAAAAGTAAAGATAAAATATGAACCACCATTAAATCTCGTAAATTTTAAAATTATTGTCAAGATAACATGAGAACGTTAAAAAAAATATTATCTGACAGCTGATGTATTGGCATATTTAAATCAGAAATAGCTAGCATACATAAATTTTTGTTCAAGCTCAAATAAGCTTTGCTTCGGGAGGGGGGAATAATTTAACTAATAAAAGATCTGGGAATATCAAACACTGGTTTAATTGATTAATCGATTATAATGAAATTCGCAACACTATATGCTTTAGGAAGGATGCTTATGTGGAGGGTGGTCTGACCGAACTTTGTCATATTCAAGCTACACAAGACTACATACCCCCAATCCGTCATGAACTGTCCCAGAACAAGCTGCCTATGTTACCCCTCAGCCACTGTGAACACGAACGATAACGAAAAGACCAGGAACATAGAACTTATCACTTAGTAGTTGCTGAGAAGGATTTTCGCTATCAGAAATAATTAATTGCTTAAAATGAAAGTCACAAGTTTTGCTTAAACATCTTGAAGGGGATTATTTGATGAACTGTGTTAAAGGCGAGAAAAAGGAAATGAAGAATTTGTAAAATTCATTGCATCTAACAGAATTTCAGTCAACGATGAAAACATTTTCGGATAATTTTAGAAAAGCCAAACGGTTTCAGTGTGAAAATCACGTTCAGTTCACATTAATGTTACAATGTACACATAATTATTAATCTAAATTAAGAATTATTACGGATTCTGGGGCATTAACAATTTAATTGTGGTAGAAAATTGTTGCAGGACAAAACCATAGCTCGATTTAAAGTATATGATATTTTCCGTTATAGGAAAACACGCACCTAAGAATTTTCTACAGAAAGAGATATCTGTCAGCATTGCCTGTTATAGTTAAATTAAACGTGTTACTTTTATCTCTTATGGTTATATTCTTGTTTTCAAAGTAAGTATTGTGAATAATATTAAAATTTAAACTATGGCATTCTATTTCGTTCTCTATTGAGACCATTAACCTAACAATGTTCCTCGGTACTCTATGTAGAACGTAAAGGAACGAAATGAATTGTAGAGCGACTTATTGCTGAGGTCACATGTATAATAACCAAATCCAAGGGAGGGTTAAAATACCCTTTTATGCACTCAAAAGAATAATAGCAGATGGCCCCTTATTAATTTAGAAGTCAAACAACAAAAATCAGAGTTATATTTTCAAATTTTCACAGGACTAGTTTCGATGGTTTTACCGAACCATCAGCCTCAGCTGCAAAAGCGCAAATGAACGAGATATGATATAATGATAAGATAAGACAAGAAAGCCTGAATAGGAGATAAACTACTGGCGCCATCCGTTGATGAAACCAGACATAATTACATTAAACATTTAAGGCTGGAAAACCATCCTTTAATTTGAAAATGAATTCCCTTAATGAAAAACCAACCCTTAATTTAACCTATCCGACGATTATCAACAGGAACGTACAATACGGCTCAGCGCAGTAGATTTAAGAACGAAGTAGCCAGCCGGCAAACACGCGCCACTAAGGACTTAAGCTCTCTCTTTCGAAGTAAGCTCAACCTTCCTTAAATACTCATTTGCATAAAATGCAATACTAAAAACTCATTCTGGTAGTAGATAAGAAACAAGAATAGAGAGTAAAGCATGTTTAAGCTTAAAATAACTGTTAGAAACACAAAGTAACCTCTACAACCTAAAAGACAAATTTCTTACGTTTAGAAAAAAATTTACTGGGGTCGAAATGAGCTTAAAGTACATTTTCTTTCTAAAAATATCAAATTGGCTGGAGAAACATTTTTGGCGCGTGTTGCCTATAACGGAAAAGATTCAAAATTTGCGACGGAAGACAAGGGAATGTTATAATTAGCAAATAAAGAGTTTATAAATGCGTTCCAAAAAAAAAAATCTTATTAGTAGTCAAACAAAAACACTATACGCTATATACCATCGAAAGGCGTTTATAACGCTAGTGTATGCCAAGGATAGCACATTGTCGCGAAAATAATTTTTTAATCTTTTCTAATACATAATTTTGTTTCAATATTACAAAAATTTCATTCAACAATACATTTTATTAACTCCGTTATAACAAGAAGTAAAATTCAAATAATTTCTTAGTAGAAATAATGCAAGAATCGAATTTTTCAGAGATGGCATCAAAAAATTCTATGGTGTTGAATACAAAAGAAGAAAAAAATTTGACAAATGAAGTTCATCAAAGCTGTGCTTCACAGTTGCAAAACTGACCGATGAAACGTGGAAATTCAAATTCAATAAGTAATTTATTAAAAAAAGTATAGAGACATTAGGTAATTGTTTGGAAGCAAGCAAAATGAAAAATTAGCAGCGCCTTTGCCGGGAATCGAACCGCGGACCTCTCAATTACGCGCTGAGTGTGCAGACCACTACACCACGAAGGCTGGCTAAGAAGATGGGAAAAATACCTTCTAAAAATATTAACAGAAAGCTAAAAAGAAAATGCAGTTGAAGTTGAAGAATTTAACAACTTTGATTCAAATAAAAGCAAACAAATATTTTATATTTCTGAAAAAATTGAGCATAAGATAACTATTTAATTGATTATTTCAATGATCTTATAACATGACCATTAATCTCAGGCAAAAGAAAACTTTTCATAATAGAACATGCACCAGATCAAGGATAAAATGTTCATTTCAAGGAATCTCTTTCAAAGGACGGCAAAAGATTTTCTAGAGAATTTTTTTAAGCAGTGTTATGAAGCGAAAGTAATACATCGCACTTAGCTTATTTATTCAAAAGATATATGATGCTATTCTGTTTTTCATGCATTCTTTTTACTAAAATGCAGCTGGATTTTACTATTTCCAATTCAAACGGAGGTTTCAAAGATTGAAAAAACATAAACCGAATTTCCGATCACGAAAATTCTATGTTTCATAGTGATGCTTATCTTCAGTGGAAATGCTTTGAAAAAAAAATTAAACGAGGTGTTTTCATGGATGATTCCCAGTATAATGCAGTAAAGTCAGGAAAAGAAAAGTGTGCAAAACTTGAGCAACTTCTTTGATTTTGGCCGCAAGTTCGTAAAAAAAAAAATCAACTAGCGGACATGAAATTCCTATTACGGAGGAAAAATATGATATTTAAACGATGAGGAAAGTATAGTAGCAAAAAAATGATAGGACGCATACAACATGAAGTGAATAGAAAAATGCTTTATTTACAGAAAGCGTTGGTACAAAAAACTGTTTGGCTAATAGGGAGAGCAAAATAGCCAGAGCCTTAGGTAGGAATATAACCTTCCCTAACTTCAATGGTTGCGTTGCACCGTCTGTCGACACTCAACACCAGATTATATAATATTTCTTTAGGTAAGACTTTCCAACCCTCAAGGAGCATATGTTTCAGGTCTTTGGAGTTTCCTGAAGGGTAAACTATGCCACTAGGCGTCTCCTTAAAGTATCTGGCACTTGTTCAGTAGGATTTAAATCAGGAGCCCACGCTGGCCAATCCATTCTGTGGATAATTTCACTCTCTAGTAACTCCTCAACATCATGAGACCTTTGTGGCCAAGCACTGTCATCCATAAAAAGTCGAGATCAATGGTACCCCGGGAAAGACGCACGTGGGGGAGGCTAGCTTCATCACAGTAAATCATCACCGGTAAGTGAACCTCAGTCGAAACATGGAGCTCCACCCATCCGTTCATAATGCCTTCCCAAACATGTACGGCAGGACCACAACGGTCTCTTTCCCGGCTACAGTACGAGGAAATTCTGGAATAAACCGCCTTTGAATTAGTGAGACAGTCCCAGGCCTTTCCCTTAGCTTAATTTGATAGGCAGGAGGCAAACCTCCTCTTAAATTCTAATTTACTTAGGAGTTTTGCAGAATTAAAAGTCATATGGTTATTAGTGGTTTGTAGAATAGTCGTTCCTTTTTTTGCCAAGAAAGCGGGATCAAAATAAGGTATGATCTAAGATTATGTAGGTGGAACTGTCTTACAATTATTTTTGAAAAGTAACAAGTGTTGAGTCATCGGGTTATTTTTCCTCGATGTCATAATCGGATCATTTTCCTCGATGTCACAATGAGCAGAAATCCATTGCAAGACAATTAAGTCAGCCAGAGTGTTGAGAATCTTCCTACCTTCGTAAATTCGTTCGGAAGTACAAAATTTATTGTTAGAGATAGCTTGCAAAGCGGCTTTGCTAACGAACAAAATAACAGCCCGAGGGACATTACTTTTCTGAGCGCTTAATTGAATCAGAGCAAAAAATACAGCCTCAACTTTCCCATCAAAACTGGCAG